TTTAGACTATAGCTCATATGTCTTTGCAAGCTGTCGGACACCCTCAACAGCAGACACCTCAGGTTGCGGCTACCTCCTGACCAGAGCTCTCTGCCTCTCAGACGCATGGGTTAGTTGACGCATGCTGACAGTGTTCTATCACCCAGCTCATGATTAAGGCCTCAAGTCAAGAATCAGAGTTTCAGTGTGGGGGCATTGCCCGCTGACCGCGTGACGATTTCCTGTGGTTTCTGGTGGGTTTGTGTTCACTTCAACATCCGGGCTCGGAGCATGTCCTTTAGCTGAGGCCCATGGTAGTAGAAAGGTCCAAGTCGTGATGTCAACATTTCGGCAATTTCACTGCAGCAACCTGCCGACCGTTAACGAAATAAAGGCAACACACTTTTCAAGACCTTGCTGAGCATTGGGGCCCTCAAATCATGAGCTGAGGCAATTACATTGCGATTCTCACGGCGGAGGACTTGGTGGGTCTAGTTCGAGGCTGAAAGATCAGAAGACTACCGTAGGCGGTTGCTTGTTCAACGCTTGAAGCGCCTGGGCTTGGAATGAAAAACCTCATGTGAACATTTTACCCAGAAAAAATGCCAGCCCAGCTTCTCATTCAAGCGTCGCGAGCTTTATCGTGTGGCAGTCCTTCCACGTCCTTCGTGTGTTTCAGCATTTGCTTCAAGATCCAATTTTCTTCCAAAATTCGCCTGAAACTTGACCACAAACCCCACCCGGACAATAGGAATCCTAGAGTTTCTGGGGTGTGCTGATATGCACCACAAAACTGACATAATTAACCCTGTAAAGGTGGGTATTGTAAGGTCCAGATAAGCCATGGTAAGCCCTAAACCCGACTAATGGCCAGAAATCCGGAAGTCCACACGACAAAAATCCCGAGCCCTGTACTAGATCTGCATATGCCGATTATCTCTTTGAAAAGGCCACCTTAATCCCTATACACCCATAGCCCTAAACCCTAAACCATAAGCAGGATCCAGACCTGCCGGGTCTGTTCGAGCTGCCGCAGGAGGATGTGGCAGCATCTTGGCATGCCGTTGCGGTTCTAAGCAAGCAGACACTGTCCGAAGATTGGGTTAAAGGTTTGAGGGTTTCGGGTTTAGGGCTTAGGAAGGTATAGTGGAAAAGGTTTTCCCGCCCACGCTGCCATGTGTTCCTTGCTGTGGATATTGCCCCCACCCCATAAAAGACCCCGAACGTTGCAGTGACGGAAATATGCACCTAGTCATGCCATAAGTAGGGGTCCTCTATGGGCAGCACTGTGCCAGTCTGGTCCTCTTCCCAGTTTTCCTCAACGCAAGCTCGCAAGACAAATTTGGCTTTGTGAGCTATGCTGCTTGTTGAACATGGTGTTTAAAGCTATGCCCCTTTGTTTAATGTCCTACCAATAAAGGCTGTAGTGCTCTTCGCGCCGGCCCGCTTCTTTAACCTGGAGTGAGCGCATTCGTTGGTACCTTGCCCCAACATATCCTCATGATAGAGCCGTACGCCCCCAATGCGCCCATAGCATCCAAGTTATATATAACCTTTATACCCATGGCCCAGGTGGGTTTCTGGCTACAGGCCACGTTTGTGAGCTTAATCCTGTCCCTCTTCATAGTGACTGTCCGCACCCCTGCAAGCAAATAGTCCCACGGGAAAACATAGTATCAGCGGGACGTGGGGTAGTATTAGCAAGGTGGAGGGTTGTGTTGTCAGGGCGAAGGGTTAAACGGTTAATCTTTGCATGAATTGTTCGGACCACTCGTGAAGTGGGAGCTTTCCCGAGCTCTAGGGAGTTTGGGATGGCAGAGCATGCTGAGAAAATTCCCAGACGAGTTATTCTCCACTGTTTGGGTCCTTGGACTGCCTGGGATGGTATTCATTAGGGTTTAGGGTTTAGGGTTTAGGGTTTAGGGTTGAGTATTCAGAGGTACAACAATGATACGTGAATTTCGGGCACGGCCTCTTTGTCTTTTGCTTTTTTTGTTTGTCAATCCTGATAGCCAACCCGAAAAGTAGGTGTTTTGCCAAGATTCCAGGAATCATGAAGTCGGCGGTGCGTAAAGGGCAAGGTTCAGTTGCCCGACGTTTAAGAGTTCTAGTCCTATTCTGCCTAGTGATGTAGGGGTTGAAAAAAAGGGCCCTTTCGATTCAAACGGGACTTGAGGGGTATGATACGGCTGGGGAGGCCGTGGGCTACTCCTCTAAGAGTCCCCTGCTCAGAACACTTCTGTCTCCCCTTTGGTCTTTTGAATGATCGCATGTAGAGACAGAGTCTATTTCATCAGCAATCCTTGACATCGGCCATCCGACTCCCCAGCGTGCAGGCATTTCAGATGAATCCATTCCCCCTAATAACCCCAATTATCCCCCTTATTAAGCTACTTACTAAGTCCCCCTGACCCTAAACCCTAAACCCTAAACCTTAAACCCACTAAATCCCCCCACTGCCCTAACATCAAACACTCCCTTTCTTGTATATCACAATATTACTGGGTTGCTGTTAAGGAACTTAATTTAAGTTACTATATTGGGGAAACCTTATTATCTACCATATATACCCATTATGGTAACTTAATTTAAGTTCCTTAACAGCAACCCAGATTAAGGTGTGGCTCAGTCGGGGATTTGGGGTTTGGGGTTTGGGGTTTCGGGTTTAGGGCTTATAACTTATAAGGGTTTAGAGGGCTTGTGTGCCCTAACCCTATACCCGTTACAGCAGGCGTTGAGGGTTTGAGCCCTACGGGCTCGCACCTTGGGGATGTACAGAGTTGGCCGACGCAAGTTCAAACCCCAGAGATGTTTACTTGGAAGTTTTGGTAGCTTGCTAGGCCTGTCGCGGTATAGTCCCCATCCTAATCCAAAACTGCCAGCGACTGATGCTTGAAAGGTTCCTTGCAATACTCCTATAACCCTGATATTAATCCATAGTATAATAGTTCCCATATTCGTTTCCATTATCCCAATATGACCCCAACAGAACCCTAATATAACCCCAGGAGAACTCCAATAGAACCTTCATATAACCTCCATAGAACCCTAATATGGCTAAAACCCTGGACCCTAAACCTTAATCGGCAAAACTTCATAGATTTCCCCGTCCACGTGGGCAAGGCCCCTCGAACCTACCCAGGCGTCGAGCCTCAAAACACCACTGTGTTCAGTGTAATGGAGAATCAAATTGAAAAGAAAATTTGAAAATGAAATGGAAAGTGGGATTTTATAGGGATATTTTAGGGGTTGTGTACACTGTGTGCAGTGTAGCTCATAACATGGGGTAGCTCAGTTTATGAGCTACGGTCTAGGGGCATATCGGGGAATATATCGTGGACTATTATCAGACTCCTTAAAGGGGGGCTTATATAGGGGACTATATAGGGGACTATATAAGGGATTATCATTAGACAGCAGCTCGTATGAAGCTACGTAGTCCCAGCATTGACTCAGAGTATTCAAGGTTTAGGGTTCAGGGCTTACAAGGGGACCTACTTGATGCATCCAGGTAGTTGCTACCTGCTGTTTAGCTGGGGATGAGGGAATGGATCTCGGAAGTGGTCCCTACGGTTTTAAACCTGATTATAGGAGCCCAAAAATGGTACTCTTTATTTTGGGAAACCTAATCCCTATAAGTCCCATAAGAACCGCTATTTAATCCCTAGAGGTCCTTGTAGTTAATAGTTGCCGATTCCCTTCAACACATCAGAGAGTCCGGGCAGGCTCTTCAGCACGACAAACTGAAGGCACCAGTGTCGCCCTTTGCGGAGGGCTGTCGCATCTTGGTACTTTGTGCTTAGGGCTTCAGGGCTTAGAATTTGGGGCTTCGGGCTTTTAAGGGCTTAGGGTTTGGGTATTGATTTCCCCTCGATCAATGTTAGTTCTGGGGGGTACGGGTTTCAGGTTTCCCTGAAGAAGCATAAGAAGAATCGTGTGTTCTTCCTCAAGAACGGGACAAGATTTGTTGGGAAGGCAAGGTTGAAGGGCATACTTATGACGAATGTTGGCCTAATTGAATTGTAGTATATGTTTGTATTAATATACATGAGGGCAGCATTCATCGTAAAGTATGCCATTCAACTTCATAATAGTGGGTATTGCAGTAATCTGGGCATGTGTTACAAGGTGGAGAGGGGGTATTATTAGGAATGGGGTTACCCTTTTTGTTTTCCTTCTTTTCACCTTCTGATACCGATTCCGGGTTGGGATTTCTCATGCTTGCCGATGTACTCTCCAGAAGCCATGTTGAGATAAATCGAGATGATGCAGGGCGCTCAGGGCTTGGGATATCTCTACTGTAAGGAAGATGGGTTGCGCTAAGTTGGGGATCACAAACATCTTGTCTGTGGCTACCCAGGAAAGAACGGCAGCCAGCGTACGAAGCTGATTCTTGATCATTACGTTCCGCCTGCATCTCATCAGCATTATAATCACCCCATCCTAGTGTTCAAAACCCACCAAAATCCCTGTATATTCCCCACACTATGTAATAACCTTATATTTTATATTGGGGATATTCATTTATTATCAGGGGTAGGGGCTTATGTTTATGGAGGGGGTTGCCCAAAGAGCGCAACAGAACAATCTAGATGGATAGCATGCTTGCCTTAGGTCAGGGTTCTTGTCAGGACTAATTCACGAGGTCAAGTGATTCTGCAACATGTGGCCCGTTTGGAGGTCAAGGGCATTTGCAATCAGGGACATCTGCAGAGGTTTCAGAATCAGATCTGAAGCAGTCCATTCTGAACCCCGTAGCAGACAGGGAAGTGCTTGACACATGCTAGCAAGTTGGCTGCTAAGCAGGATTTGGCAAGTAGGTTAGGTTAGCATGCGGGACAGAAAGCTCACGTACCCCGCCCCCGCCCAGGAGGAAGAAGCTTGCCAGGTCGTACGTCGTAAATACAGGTGGTGATTCAGGGTTCGAGGATGTAGCCCTCAGGGCGATGACCAGTCTTGCTTCACACGCTGCGATTCTACACCAGAAAAGCATGCAGCCTCATGCGGCCCAGATCTGAGGGTGAGATGCAGCGCAGAGCGAACAATCTGCGCCAATATGGAAATCCTTGCGGCAAAGGCCTCCCGGGTTGACAAGGGTCTTTTCGAATTCGGGGCCCATGACGTCTTTCTGGACATGCCGAGACGTTTCCTCAAGGACGAACAATAGAGGCCAATAGGAATAATTTCGGCATGTACACAAACAGCCTGTTTGCATTCCCGATTCTAGGGCTCCGCTTAATGAAAGTGTGGCTGCAGTACCCCGCACTTGCCCCGAAACTAGCATGGAACCCCATAAAGCCGGATAGTAGTATAGGGGCCTGAATAAACGCCAATATCATTTGGAGGCAGAATTGAGTACACTATACCATAATTGTGCAGGGAACAAAGGACCGCGGGCTTCTACAGTAGTGCTAAACCCTAAACCCCTAAACCTTGTAGGGCCTCTTGGGGCTTAGAGGGGCGCAGTGGACGGAAGCCACAATTGATGCTTGTGGGCCCAGAAAGGGTAGGTTTTGAATGGGCTTTATACTGCAATTACAAAGTTTAGGGTTTAAGGAATTATCGTCCTCGATTCCTGGAAGACCCATGGTGAAGGGTACCACGGATAGACCTCAAGATAAAACTGGTCATTATTTAGGCTACTATACTAGATTGTTTCTCTTGGCGTCAAAGTATTTTCCTTTCAAGCTTAGGAGACTCGTTTGGGGCGATCCCCACTCCGAACGGAGATAAGTGAGCACCAATGGCAAAAACCACACTTGGGGCTACACCTCCCTTCAGCTACCCCATTTTGACAAATTCCCAATAAAACTTGAAGAAGAGTTGGGGTGCAACTCTCTGCCTACACACGAATGTCTTACAGCTGCAGCGGGTATGGAGAAGGTCCAAACGTCTTGCCATGAAACCGCTGATGATGGCGCCCAAAGATCCACTGGTGGCGTGCTCAGTGAGGTCTAGTTCGTTGTCTAGGTGGTATTTTGTCAAGATCACGCTCAGTTACGGAAATCTCATTAGTGCAATGTGACTTGTACAGTGACGCCCTGTATCCTGATGTCTTTGAGACGCGCCTGTGCTGGGCAATTATTTTTTGTCGCAGCTGCCCCACCCTAGTGGCAGATATTCTGTATTCCAGATTCCCGCGTGCAATCTGCAATCTCGTCGGAACGGGATGGCGGCGCTTGTTGACCTGAACGTTGTGGCTACAGAGTTGTATGCTAGGATGAACGCATATCATCACTTCACGCCATGATGCCACCATCCCCGAAAGCTTGATCAAAGTGGAGCTTGCAAAAAATTGGGCCTCTTTCTGGGGACCCCTGTAGTCAGGATGGTGATTATGGTATTCTGGGGTCTATATATCTATATCGGGTGCCCCCAATTCTTTGGGAAACTGCCCTAAACCCTAACACGTATAGTTTAGGGCAAAGTATCTTCCCAGGCGATATCTGAAGATCCAGATTAGCTGGCGGCTCATCATCAAACGCATACAGAGCGTCTCAGCCGCACCAAATCCTGGTAGCGCCTAGCAGCAGCAGCAGCAGCAGCTGGTATAATTCAGCGCTTTGTTCTCTTGACAGCTGTAGTATACCCTAAACTTCGAATAGGGCCTAAACCCCCAGTCCCATTCTACTTACTAATGTGCCTTTCATGAGATTGCCAGGTGTTGGTTCTTGATTTATGGTCTGCGGGTCTGGAACTAGAAAAACGGATGTGAGGGTGTAAGTCTCATAGAAACCATATCCACACCTTCTACCGAGGCATGGCTTCAAAACTTGCTGTTCGCAACCTTCAAAGGGACATATGCTTGGTACTGTATCACAATACATACTCTGTTTTGGTAGGAGCTGGACTTCCAGCATAGTCTACAATGCGCTCAATCATCGTGATGAGGCTCAAAAAAGGAATTTCTGAGTTCAAGGGGTCCCTCGTCTTGGCATCTGCCAGACGAAACACATAACCCCAAACAAAGACCAGAAGATTTAGGATGCTGAGTTCAAATGTTAGGGGCTGGTAAAGGGTTCTAAGCCAGAAGAGTCGCGCAGGACTGAGAAGTTGTTCAGAGGAATTTGGGCAAAGGGCTTTGTTGATATGGTTGATGAGGATACCTTGCAACACGTCGGACCCCCATGATGCTGTAATTCCTAGGGCGTAGAGTACACCAGGTGGTGCAATAGGTTGTTGCGTTGGCGAAGGACGGCAGGCAAGCATAGCAGCTAAAAACCCTAAACCTGAAACCACGGTATTTCCATGTGGTAAACCCCGAAAAGGCTCCCAAAAAATGAGGCCCCGTGCTTGGGGATCCCTATATAAAGGATCAGAGTATCTGACTTACTGGGAAATACCCGCATGGTCTATGGGTTTGGGCTGAGGGCTTCCTAAGCAGAGACAAGCTTGCCGTCCAGGTAGCCCAATGCTCCTCAACTAAGGCATTAACGACATTTGGGCTTTAGGGACCTGACCTTATCCTTCAATCATATTAGGGATCCTCGTATCACGCGAGGTATAGTAAGTGACTAAGGCGCATTGGGCTCTCCAGATCCATGGCAGGGTTTCCGGGCTTCCAAGGATTCAGGAAAAACCCTGCCCCGATGTGGAAGCTCAGAAGCCCCTTGTTTGAAAGGATAGCTGGCTTTATAGGTTCTTTGTTGCACAAGTTGGCGGGCTAGCACGCTTAGAAAGTACACGTACAACCCCTACCAATTATACGATAACCCCAATATTCACAAGTTTACCAAATCCATTGACCCAAAATCCTAAACCTTACACTACACCCTACACCCTGACCCTCCAAATAACCTCTTGAGGGCATGTGAGCTTGCACACTCTCAGTTATGGATCCCACCAGGACCCAGTCTCGGTCGAGGCCAATGAGATGAGGTTTTGGGGTTTTAGACGGCCCTGAGACCGGAACCCCGAACTTTCCCCAGTAAGGACCTGTTTGAGTCATTCCACTCTGCAAAATCCTGGTCTGGGCATTTGAAATCAGTCAGAGGCACATTTGAGAGCTCCAGTTTGGAAATGTTACGACTGTAGCCCCTCGTGCTTGGCTTACATGCGGATGGAAGTTCCTGTGCTGAAGATCCTCCAAGCCTAGAGTAGACTGTGGGGTGCTCAACAGTGACCCAGGCCAAGAGCTGACATGTGCTGTCTAAGGTGCAATCGGGAGATGAGGCTGTTTGTCTCACGGGAAAAAGGTTCATGCACCGAAAAGAAAACATGCGACTGATTGCTGGGCGATGCTCTGCCTATTCTGCAAGCGCGCGGTCGAGCAATCTCTGAGCCCGTTATAACGCCACTCCTCCGACGCCTCATGTTGCGAGAAGGCTTATGCAAATGTACCAGCAGTCTTACGTAGATGCGCTGCACAGACTTGAAACATGCAACTTACAACGTGCAGCCTCCAAAACTTTCCCAAGGAAGCAATTCCATTGAGGAAAGCAATTCTGATGAAGGACCTGCTTCTTACGTTTTTAATTGGGGATGTTCTCGCATTTTCATGGCTTGCAGTGATTCTTTCAGATTGGCTAAACCCTGAGCCCTAAACCCACGGTAAGACACCCCCAAAAGCCCCCAGATAAATCTGCTTCTGAAGATTTTCTGCAGCGTGCCATGACACTGGGGTGCTGTTGACCGCTATCATGGTGGGTATAGGTTTATACACAAAAATTCATATAATCACTAGCATGGTAGATTAAAACAAGTTTTTGAACAGCAACCCAGTAGAAGGAGGCAAAATCCCGCCACCCACAAACATCTTGAGGTCCTGCGGCAAGCCCGTGTCCCCCCAATTTAGATCTCCATGTGGAAGATGAACAGCGAGTGGGCACTTGAGGGAAAGCAGCATGATCTCCTTGTTGGGGTGTTTGAGGGGCCCCTGGACAGACAACACCTGGTCATTGCGCTTGCATTCAGCCGCGTGTGGCCACGTAGCCTTCAGAGTTTAGCATCATGGCAAGCTGCGGTGTAGCAGCATGATCTCCCCCACACGAATTGATTCCCACCCCTTGTCTCTTCATCTCTACCTCAACTACCACTTTTTTTGGTAGCTTGTGGCCGAAGGATTTTGCATGCCAGGAGGATAGCCAGTTTCTAAGCCATTTCGCGTGAGAGCAGCCTGAGATACAACGGAGTTTGGGTCTGTAGGTGGTATGCTTTAGCTCTGAAGTTCCCAATAAACCCTAAACCCTATAAACCCTATAAACCCTTAAACCCTAAACCCTATTATAACCCCTAAACCCTATAAACCCTTAAACCCTATAACCCTATAAACCCGTCAAGCCAGCCCAAAGTCACTGAATCACAGACTCCTTTGAACCTCAATTCCAAGTTGCGGGGCCGAAGGGGCCATGTCTCTGCGATTCGAAGTTTCTGCGTGATGTCATGCTTCAAACGCTTTGTGCCTGGGCCAGGAACACAGTTCAGGCCAGATTCAGATATTCAGGAACAACCCTAAACCCAGATCCCTCACCCGACCCATCCCGACCCTACCCCTTACAACCCTTAGTACTGTGAATTATTTTGCTGCGTATTGGCTGGCCTCTGGACTCTTGCAGGCCCAGTGAGATTTTCGGTCTCAGGCCAGTTTGGGGTAAGTTTCAAAAAGCTGTTTTGAGGACGCGGCTTAGAGTCCAGGGTTCTTGCAGGTCTGCGAGCGTTATCAGAGTAAGCCATATAGATTAGGAGGACCCCCACCCTGTAATAGTGGTATAATAGGAATATAATGGCACCCTAACATAATCCTTATTCTCCCTTATAGCCACTATTACAGGGGGGTCGTCCTAACATATAGCATTCCCAGTTATCCCCATCGCTAACCTACTTACTAATTGAGTCACTCACCTTCCAAGTACTTACTTTCCCCCACCAGAAATCTGAGGGCAGTGAGACATCCTTCTCACCTACAGAGCATTCCCTGCAGCAAATACATCACAGGTATGTACACATGCTTTCTGGGGATTTTACGCAACTCTGGCGAAGATCCTCCTCCAAACGCCCATCCCCAGAGCCTGTCCTTTTACTGGTGCTCAGTATGGAATAAGGGAAACATCCCTATAACATATTCCCTTCTTCCTTACTCTAAACTCTAAGCCCTTAACCCTAGGCCTTTTGGCTCTATACTGTATTCCTTTATTCCTTACTAAGTCCCAGTAAGCCTCAGGCAACATGTTTGCTTCTGGCTACCATCGGTCTTCTGAGTGTCTCGGCGGCTTTGGTGTTTACTTACTGGAGGTGCATGGGAATGAAAGGCTACACTATGTAGCGTGTAGGGTTCAGGGGTAGTAGGGCTTAAGGGAATAGGGTTTTAGGGGTTATATAGGGGGCTACATCCCCTTTTTCCTACTGACCCCCAGTAAGTTCATCAAGTTTGACATCTTTTTCAGAGTCCGGTTTTGGGTACGGGCTCGTGAGAACTGGAGGGCCAGGGGATACAGGTTGTTTTGGGGGCACTTCCAAAAGGTTGAGGGTTCTTTGAGCGAATATTGGCCTGCCCTCCAGTTTTGAAACACGGTCATGTGCGGCATTTTCCAAAAAATGGCTGTGAATCAAGAGGACTTGGCTTGTATCAGGCTAGGGCGGCCATTCTGCGAGGTAGGCTTGCAACAGAATCTCCTAACCCACCTTTACGACAAGTTTCTTTGCGTGGCATACCCGTGCCAAGCTTTCGCGCCGAAGTGGTATGTGGCAGGGGATTGGGGGGGGTGACAGGCCGTGTTTTTGATCCGCAGCCACATGAGGTACCCTTGATCCCAACAGTTAGGGAAAGTGGTCAAACGCCTAACAACATGAATATACTTGCGTCAGCGAGCCAACATGTACTGCTAAGTTACCTTTATTTTCACTCCTGAAAACGTCCAAAACCTTCATTCGTGGTACTTGGAGGATAAGGGTGGCTAAAAAGTAG